AGGGATTATCGAATACATTCTCAATTACTACATTAAGGTTTTTTTTTTTTTTCTGTTAGATTGCATATCAGTTTTCTACAAGATTCATGATTGCCAATTTGCTATTCCTTCTGGATTGTTTCATGCTTCATAATTTATTAATATTATTATTGGGCTTCTCAATATTTTTTCATTTTGTAGTGAAAATTTGGAAACGCAAAGATGAACGTAATGAGAAAGAAAGGGTGAAATGATATGTGGAAGTAATCTCTAATCATGGGCTACCCTGGTGGGCCTACCAGTGGGCCTATCCACCGGATATTTACCACATCAGTCGTTACATTTTCTAACCCATCACCTACTCTCTAATAAAAGTAGACATTATAGGCAAATGCGTGTTTTTCAAAACCAATCTCATTCTCTGAATCTAAACGTAAAACAAAGGGCTTCTTTTAAATTGATTTCTAGACAAAGACCGGTGTATAAATGGATTGCAAATGCGGATTTTGGACGTAACTAACCAAATTTTACACCACCTTGCCTTTCAAAAGGAAGTTAATCTATATTTATCAGGATATATATATATATATATGTGTTGAATTATTTATTTAAGTAACTAAATATATTAATTAAAAGGTTATTATCTTAATAACACTATTTAACTAGTATTGATGAAATTACAACTAAGATTTTGTTTTAGATGTTCATCACAGGCTAAGACAGACATGTAATGTTTATCGAGAGATCTCCACTCTTACTTAATGTGATTATAAAAAATATTTTCACTGGGTAATTTTATCAAATATGTGTGAAAATATTATTCGATAAAAAAAAATCAGTCAATCAGTAAGATCCAATAAATAGTTGGTAGATAACTGAGTTTCTTTTTTATAAAATATGTTGATTGTGATTCAATTATTGACCATGTACATAAAACTTACTTCCTTGAGAGAGACAAACTTTAGTAATCCCCATCTCTCATAAAATTTAATCTTTAACTATCAGTTAGGAAATATCCTTGATTAGAAAAACAAATTGGTGCAAAAAAAAAAATGTCTCATCAATATAAATCTTTTACTCAATTTAGCGGTGTCATTCATAATAACTCCTTTATCAGGGTCACAAAGTTCGCTTAGATATATCGAGCGGATAAAATCATGTGATTTTGTATTCAATTAGTATCCGGTTTCTGAAAATTCTAAATACTAGAAATTAATTATGTTGAATTAAAGAATAACTATCATTAATATGATTAATAATGGGTGTATTATTACAATTACACACTTAATTATTAAATAACGGAGAGTTCATTAATTTTCATTACAATTACACATTTAATCATGCATTACATAAAGTCTAACCTATTTAGTGGATAAATTTACTTTCATTAATCTTCTGTGTAATGGATTGCATTAAATTAATTTATGTAAAAAATTCAAAAGGATAAGAAGTTAAAAAAATGAAATATAAATATAATGATAAAAGAATTTTTTGATATGGTCAAGGGAAATTTCTTGATTAATTATGTGTGAAATATAAGTTTAAGAAAAAAAAACAAAATATTAAGAAGATGATCAAAAGAGCAACCTCACTCTCTTAAAACTACCAAATGCCTGAATCAACTAAAATGAAATTGTTTTAACTTAATCAATGATAAGGTTTAAGTTCAAATTAAGTATGCAAGCTCACGAAAAAAAGTCTAATAATACACTTTATAAAAAATAAACTAAAAAATAGTAGTGCTAGCAATAATTGTTTTTAATATACTTTGTTATTGATTAATATTTACTGAAACCTATAAAATTAACAAAGTCACTCATAAAATGAGAAATAGGACCGTCAAAATTTTATAATTTTTAATGATGTTCAACTAATAATAAAAATATATATATTAAAAAATGTCCTGCTGTATTTTTTGCAAATAAAAATCTAATTTGCAATATAAAGTTAGACGATTAATAATTAAAAGGGTGGAGTTATATATCCATGATTTTATACTATAGTACGATGTTGCCACTGGCTCCTGGGCTATAAAAATTCCATAATTGATACTTTATCTGTATTTTTAATTATTTTATATAGATAAAATTAATAAATAAAAAAGTTAATTTTATAAAATTAACATTTATATAAATTTATTTTGTTTGAAATGATGTAATGTAACAATTTTTTTAAAAGATATTATTCCTTTTATTTCTTTTTAATTGTCATTTTTTTGAAAAAAAAATTATTTCTATTTATTTATTGTTTTCAAAGTCCTAAGATTGCATTAATTATTATTTTGTTAATTATACTTTTACATTTCACCTAACTTTTAATTAATTTATACTTATAATTACGGAACAAAGTTAATAGAGAACATAATAAAAAAACATTAAAATTATTGAATAAAAATAAAAAAAAATTTATTATATCTTTTTATTTGTGTATTACCATCTTAAATAACTGATAAAAAGGAGGAGAGATAGTATTAAGAATATAAATGAAAAGGAAATAATTAATATATTAAATTGAAAGATTTAAGGACAATTTTATGTATTTTTTCATTATAGAAGAGAGTGAGTATATTTTATTTGTTAAAGCACGAAACGTGACATAATTCTATTGGTAGGATATTAAAGTCCACAAATTGAGAGAGACCGAGACTTTGTTTAGACGAATCTGTGTTGTGGTGTTTATAGAGACTCGCTAAAACCGATAAACTTATTTCATATTATGTCTATATGAATAAAAGGTACTTTGCTCTCAACACACAAAAATAGTGGAGTGAGTATGTCTAAATTGGCCACCATCTTCATCTTCAACTTCTATCTTCTCATTTGCTTCGGCTTAATCTATGCCTCTCCTCCCAACGTTCAATTCGACGATGCCATCTTTTCACCTCATGGGGTACGTATATTTTTCATATGTGCATGTGTAATAATAGTCTTAGTTTCTTCATATAGTATATAGCATGAAAATTTTCATTTTTTATATATTGTATTTATTAATTGGGACCTAAAGAAATTGCCATGTTTGAATTGAAGGATGTTGCGGCGTATGTGTTGGATGACGAGAGTTGCGAAGGAATAGATGAGTGTTTGATGAGAAGAACTCTAGCGGCTCATGTTGATTATATCTACACTCAAAAGAATAAACCCTGAAATAGAAGAAGAAGATCACATGCACTCAGGACCGATATAGATAAATACTCTATACTTTCTGTATATATCTTTTTCATAAATAAGTTTCGTCTCATTTCTCACTTCTGCTGAATTCAATCTTGTGCATATACTTCATCAACATATATACGGTTCACACCACCGTAGGGTTTAGGCCACTCAAATAATACAAGGGAAAATTATGCATGGACACCTTCATGTTGGATAATACTTGGTCACACAAAAAGAAAAGAACTAACAAGAATCGATCAATAGTGTTTATTAAGATATTATTTTACATTTATAATTACGTGAAAGGAAGATGTTTTCTTGCCCAGACAACAACATATATATATGACATGTGCATGCTGGAACCTACGTACAAATCATTTGAATACAGCGGGATTTTCTTCAATATAAGAATATATAACAATGTTTTCTTCCCTTCCGTTCTTGAAACTTCTTCCTACATGAGCTATGATTGTTATGAAACCAAAGGGTAGATAGATTACAATCATGTGGGTCTCATACTCATATCGCAATATAATATTGATAAGCCCTCTATAATTGATGCCATGTCACGATATAAATAAATAATCATTTTTGTCATATAGCAACTTATCTTATTCCAAATCAGACTAATTAACTTCCTGATTAATTATTTTTCGAGCCTTGTGCCATTAGAAGTCTCTGAAATGGACTGCCACTATCGCTCTCAAATCGTAGAACGCGTTTGTTTTACTTATCAAAAGGGTATATTGTAAATTGAAATTAATAATCTTTTGTAAGACTTATTTTTTCGTGTATTTCACGAATTTAAATAACATGAATAGAAAATAAAATATTGTTATTGTGAGTAATAACTTTTTTTTTTTTTATATCAAATAAGAATAAAAAAAATTTAAAATTTAAAATGTAAAAAAGTATTTGAATTGATTTGCATTAATTTAATCAATATGTTGTATTAAAATACAAAATTTGAAAAATAAATTTATAGTATATTTAAAAATAACCTCAACTTGATATATCATATGAATTTAAATTTTAAATAATAACATTTAAAGGAAATAAAAAATTAAATACTCAACATGTGAGAAATCATGTCATGTGATTTAGTAAGAACGATAATACTTCTTAAAATCGTCTGTGTTAAGCAGTAGTAGAGATTTTAGATTTTAATGTAAATAGTCTTATTAGAAAAAGAAGAAAGATGAAATATAAGTTGATTATTGTAATTAATTATAAGATTTATTAATTCTATTTTGAATTATTTTTTTTGGTTGCCTTAAAAACTATACTTAAGAGAAGAATTCAAATCCATTATAAGATTTTCTTTAAATAAATTTCTTTATAAAATGCTTATAAGAAGAATAAAAAGTATTTTTTTATAAGTTAAAATTAGTTTATATATAAATTAAACTTAATTTGAAAAAGTAAATGATTTTAGCTTATTCAAAATGCTAAATTTAACTTATTAAAAAGAAATACTTTTTTTCTATAAATATTTCTGAAACTTAGCTAAATAAAACCTAAATATACTTCTATTATTCGGAAAAAGGATGGACCAGTCTGCACGGGACGACGTTATTAAAAATTTCACTAAGCTAATGATATGACTCAACTTGGAGAGAAAAGCTGTTGGCTTTTATCAAAAAAGAAAAAAGAAAAAAGAAAAAGAAAAAGAAAAAGAAAAGTTATTAGCTACACCATGCTTATTTTAGGCAAAGTCATGGGTATGAGCCGAATAATGAGAGACTCTCATGATTAACAACATATATCTATGATTGTTTCTTATTAATTTTACACATTATATAAAAATTACAAAAAATAAAAAGTTTCTTTGTACTCTTTCTGTTTTATGCTAAAATTGATATTTAATAAAAAATAAATAAAAGAGTAAAAAAACTATCGTGATACAAATATTTTTGTAAACAACACTATGATAGGCCCACTAGGTTTACTACTGAAATAAACAATTGATATAAAATATACAACTAGTTTGAATAATATTTCATATAATAAAAAATATTTAAAAAAAAGTGGGATAAAATAATTTATATGAAAAATAAAATAAAAAGAATATTGTAAAAAGAAAAAATACTTTACTTACAAGTGAACATGACCATCCAAAATCCAATATCTGATATAATACATTGTTAAAAATTATAATATTAATACATTATTCTTCGAAATTTTTAAAACAATATGACACCAAACTAGTTTGAGATACGAAATTTAAAATGTAAAAAAGTATTTGAATTGATTTGCATTAATTTAATCAATATGTTGTATTAAAATACAAAATTTGAAAAATAAATTTATAGTATATTTAAAAATAACCTCAACTTGATATATCATATGAATTTAAATTTTAAATAATAACATTTAAAGGAAATAAAAAATTAAATACTCAACATGTGAGAAATCATGTCATGTGATTTAGTAAGAACGATAATACTTCTTAAAATCGTCTGTGTTAAGCAGTAGTAGAGATTTTAGATTTTAATGTAAATAGTCTTATTAGAAAAAGAAGAAAGATGAAATATAAGTTGATTATTGTAATTAATTATAAGATTTATTAATTCTATTTTGAATTATTTTTTTTGGTTGCCTTAAAAACTATACTTAAGAGAAGAATTCAAATCCATTATAAGATTTTCTTTAAATAAATTTCTTTATAAAATGCTTATAAGAAGAATAAAAAGTATTTTTTTATAAGTTAAAATTAGTTTATATATAAATTAAACTTAATTTGAAAAAGTAAATGATTTTAGCTTATTCAAAATGCTAAATTTAACTTATTAAAAAGAAATACTTTTTTTCTATAAATATTTCTGAAACTTAGCTAAATAAAACCTAAATATACTTCTATTATTCGGAAAAAGGATGGACCAGTCTGCACGGGACGACGTTATTAAAAATTTCACTAAGCTAATGATATGACTCAACTTGGAGAGAAAAGCTGTTGGCTTTTATCAAAAAAGAAAAAAGAAAAAAGAAAAAGAAAAAGAAAAAGAAAAGTTATTAGCTACACCATGCTTATTTTAGGCAAAGTCATGGGTATGAGCCGAATAATGAGAGACTCTCATGATTAACAACATATATCTATGATTGTTTCTTATTAATTTTACACATTATATAAAAATTACAAAAAATAAAAAGTTTCTTTGTACTCTTTCTGTTTTATGCTAAAATTGATATTTAATAAAAAATAAATAAAAGAGTAAAAAAACTATCGTGATACAAATATTTTTGTAAACAACACTATGATAGGCCCACTAGGTTTACTACTGAAATAAACAATTGATATAAAATATACAACTAGTTTGAATAATATTTCATATAATAAAAAATATTTAAAAAAAAGTGGGATAAAATAATTTATATGAAAAATAAAATAAAAAGAATATTGTAAAAAGAAAAAATACTTTACTTACAAGTGAACATGACCATCCAAAATCCAATATCTGATATAATACATTGTTAAAAATTATAATATTAATACATTATTCTTCGAAATTTTTAAAACAATATGACACCAAACTAGTTTGAGATACGTAGACACAAAAAAAAAGAAGGAAAAATGTACAAAATAGAAACTAGTTTGGGATGGTTTGAAACATCTCAACTGAAATATAATATATATTAAATTTAATTTCTTAAATTCAAAGTTATCAAAAATAACTTTAAAGTAGGATCGAATTAATAGAACATCATGCGTTATTAAAATGTTACCTATTTGTCGATTTAAATTTTTTAACCAATTTCTATATATTAAATGTGAAATGATTTTTTTTTCTTTCACGAAAGGTGTCTAGAAACTATTCTTTGATGAGAGTGTCTAAGATTCTTTTAATTTCTTATTTAATTTATTTTTTTATTTATCATATTTATTTAAGAATTAAATTTTGATTTTTTTAAAATAAATTATTAATAATTAAAAATAATCTTCTACTGTAATATACAAATTATCAATTTTAAATCTAAAATATAACTTATATCATTAAAAATATATATTTACACAAATTTAAAATATAATTTATTATAAATTTTATTTATATATAATTAACATTTAGTCTATAACAAAATATTAGCATTTAACTAAAGTGAAAGATTTTTCTTTAAATATAGTCACGTTGCCATTGGTTAATTTTAGTTTTAAGTTTTAAAATTTTAAAAATCAAAACTAATTTTCAATATTTATGTTGTAATTTCAATTTTTAAATTTTGAAAAGTCATTCTCAATCTTATAATCTGGAGAGAATCTAGAGTGAGAGCATAACAAATTCATGTTAAGCTCAAATCAAAGCATGATCAAATCGAGTAAAAAGACCTAAATTTAAAGTCCAAGTTTTTATTTTGTTGGTGGTTCGGGTTAGATTGTTCATGGACGTGGGTATAGTAGGACAAACATAAAAAACCAAATTCAAATTGAACTGTTAAAATTGGTTGGCACACGTGTAGCGCCCAAAGACAGCTTTAATTGCTCAACAGCCCCAAGGGTTACGGACGTATGTTAGCCAAAAATCTGCCCATATCCCACCACCATGAGCCGTGACCCATATCCAGACCTGCAATGACAATTTCTCCATTACGTAATTGGTTTTTATTTATTTATTATTTTTTATGACGTAATTGGTTCTAAAATGCCAATATACGGCATTTGATTCACTAGACTCCTAATTAGTTTTTGCTGTGCAAATCAACAAAAACATTTAACCGGGCTCCATGCAGAGGTTCTGTAGTTTACAGAAAGAAGTGACAAATAAAGAAGCAAGTAAATTACAATTCTCCGAAAAGATAACCTCTCAGTCGCACAGATTTACAAAACTTTTGAGTCTCAAGTTTAAACCACATCTCGTTCACAGGAAAGGAAAAAACAGAACAAGAGAACACAAATCTACAGCTTAATCAATTTCCAAAAAACAAGGAATCCAATTATAATACTCTAATTAGCCTGATAAAGAGTTACACTGACATGTTCTAAGAACGCTAGAGTAAAACATCTATTCAACGTGATAAAATAAGAGCATTGAAGACAACTTCAAACCCTATTGACCCTGAACTGGAATCACTGACATGAATAGAATGCAACTGGCACATTTTTATAAATGTATTTCAGTCAATAATGCTGCGGCATAATAGTATAGAAAACTATAAAAATAAAAAAAATAAAAAAGGTAGGAACGGGGTGAGTCAAGGATAGATTTAACCTTACTCACTCTCAGGTTCAGGCTTGGGGTAGCTGGGTATGAGAAATTTAAACCCAACCCTATTTTCATCAGGGTAAATTACATTTTAATTCAAATAATAGAAAGATTAAATCTTAAAAATAAAAATAAACCCAATAACTAAACATGTAATTTCAACTCTATTATCAAATTATTATCATAATTTAAATTATTTAACAATTATGATAATTAATTTATATTTTTAATAATTATAAGAAATAAGAATGAGAGAAAACATGTGTGACAGAGAGAAAGTTTCAGAAATGAGATGAGTAAATCTTGACCATAAACATATACTTAGAATTGGTTTTTTATTGGTTTTAATCTTAACTAACCATTTTAATTATACGTTGAGAGATTCGCTTTTCTCACACTCTCATTTCTCACTAGATACATTTTCATAGACGGGCATGTTTGTGTGTGTGTGTGAAAGAGAAAGAGACTTCAAGGCAGCAGCAAGAAGATACATATCCAAACCCACCCCCACTTTTGCAAAATGGAAAAAACCCAATCGTGAACTCGATCAAAGCATATTTTGTCCATCAAAATCAGGATAGGTTCGGACAAGTAGCCATGGTTTTGAGATTTAATTGCCATACCTAGAGAATAAACACTCTGATTGGAAATGTTTGGTGAATCGGAAAGAGTATTCTTGATTGAATAGATGTAATTAAATGGAAGACTACTCTCATGACAAGGACTTGTCAGCCTAATCCTAAAGAAACCATTGCAATATATAGAATGCATGAAACAGGAACAATACTGATAAATAAATATATCAACAACGATGTAAAGCATGCATATGCTTGTGATTATCATTTTAGAGAAGAATTTATTAGGGCAGATTATGTATGCAGTTCGTTGCTCGCACAGTTATTGACAAAACCAAGTCTCATGCAAAAAAATCAGAAATTCTCAACAGAAAGAAATGGGTTCAAACTCAAATCTCAGCTACAAGAAAAGCTAAACTCACCTGACTACATCAATCACTTCCAGTTAGCAGTTGCAGAGAGTCAAATCTGCTATAAAATCTCAACTTTGCATAGAAAGGAAACAACATATTCAAACTAATATGATAGTCAATTTGCCATTTAAAAGCCAAACGAACAAACAATGAAGTCAAGACTGGGTTTTATTTTTATATAGGACGAATAAAATTAAGAGTACCAAGGAGGGAAGGCTAATTAGAAGAATATTATTTATAAATTACAAAAAAAACATGAAATAACATTATTCAATCATAACATCAGCTAAAGGCTGATGCTAACAAAACCATTATTCATATACTGCTGCAGATGCATATGCTTTAAATATATTACAATCATAGAGCAACTTAGTTTTTTTTTCTTTCAAGAAAGCAGTAAAAATAATCTCATTTTTCATACTATGTGTTATATGCATCCAGCATTGAAGCAATTTAAATTTTAGCAAGATGGCTCATACCATTGCCTTTCTTTTGGGTATGGAAAAAGACTGAAAACGGTAACTTAAAAATTACAGGCAGAATTTTTTCACCCACTGAACTACATTTTCAAATTTAATACTTGGAAATATATATAGGATAAGTAAAGGATCTAATTTTACTGCCATTATATTCCAACTGCATTACAATTCTGGGGTTAGATCAAATATCACACTAAGCAGGCAAGAGAATCCTACTACCACCCACAATATGCAAATACAAAGCAAGACACAAGGTAAGAATGACCGATGACTTAGCTCCAACATATCTAACCACCTCCATTCCTTTGTCCACAACCTCATCATGAACCTTACTAACACTCCTCTTACATCCATCAGATATTCTCCACAACAAAAACACCACGAACGACCTCACCGTTTCAAATGTGACTCTCCCGGTGACATCAAGCATGAATCTCCGGTTCGCCGGCACCGACAGCGTTGACTTAATCTGTTCAATCCATCCATAATCCTGAACCCCACCAACCGAGCTCCCAACCCTGAATTGCCGCAGAAACGCCTCCGGTTTCACACACCCATCTTCAGGAACAACAACAGAGGACACAGACAAACCCGAATTCGACCTCACACTTGGGTTCGTCAAAACCTGATGAGAAGTTCTAACAAAAGTCTCAACAGCACCATTACACATAGCAACCAAAATCCCCTTCACCTTCTCCTGGTGCCTCGGATTGGACATCCCGGCAAACATTTCATCATAGGTATTAACATCCATAGTCTTGTCAAGAAAAACAGCAACCGCAGTGCTCACAAAAATTTGCACCCAGTCCCCTATAGCCCTCCCACACCTCTCATCGCAAATCACATTCACCCATCGAGGAACATCCGATTGAGACCTCGCATTTTCCTTATCACCATCAAAGAACCCCAAAACCAAATTCTTCGCGAAGCTCCCAACCACAACGGACGCAAAACCCGTCCCAGCCTTGGAGAAAAGCTTCTCCAGCACCCTATCCACGGTAATATCGAAGGGAGTATGACAGTCATTATCGTTACCCGCCTGTGATTTACTAAACCCTAGCAAAATCCCGATGGTGACAGCCTCGGAAACCCTAGCGAGCGACGATGAGAACTCCTTGGACGCTGCGATTTTCGATAGCTGCTTCAAACTGTTAGGGATTTGATCTGAATCAGAAGCGAGAAAACGGCTTAGGTCGTTGGAGATAACGGCGAGGGTGTCAGCGGAATTGGATATTAATTGGGCGACGGAAACGAAGGCTCGGAGGAGGTTGGCGAGACGGCGTCGTTTGCGAGCGACATAAGGGGAATTGTAGGCTTTGTAGGCACCGTAACCGGAGGCAGCGAAGAAGGCTATTAGGAGAATGTGATTTTTGTTTCTTCGGGAGAATTGGAGACACTTCCTGAGAGGCGGAAGGTCCATAGAAAGAGAGCGCAAGATGAGAGTGAGCGTAATGTGGTTAAAAGGGATCTGGAATTGAAGGGAAAAATAAATGCAATAATTGCGATGGTTGGAATGGAGGGAAATTGATATGGGTATCTATCTGTCTTATTTAAGGGTGTGTGAGAAGAAAGTGACAAGTACAAGTCAGTTTGGTTTGATGGAGTTTCTGGGTAGGGTGGAGAGAATTGAATGGTGTGGATGAGCAAGTATCTGATTCTGATGACTTTCGTTTGTTTATAATAAATAAAGGAGGAAAAGAAAGCAAGACTTACCTAAGCAAAGGCGATGCCAGGTACCGCGCCAAATTAAGGGTTGTTGAACACTTCATTTTTATTTGTTGCTCGCAGCATTTCAAACCACCTCTATTCACCTTTTAAATCAAAACATTTTTTTTAGGGATACTAATTTATATTTATTTTATATCATTTTTTTAACCATTGATAATTCTTTAAATATTCAAATTTAATTTTAAAATAAAAATTAGATTAATAAATTAAAGGATATAAAAAAATTAAAAACATCATTGTTAGAGAAAAAAATTATTATTATTTTGTTAAAAAACTATTCATAAAAACATTTGTTGAATATAATTATTTTAATTTATATAAAGCGATATAAATAAGATTATGATTGATAATTTTTATTAAGATGATATTAAATTTAAATAAAAAATGATATATTTTTTTAGATTCTTCTTTTGAAGTTGTTCATAAATAAAAAAATACTTAAATTTAATTGACAAAAGATATAAATAAATTTAATCTAAAATTTATTTAATATTATTATATCAAAAAATACTCTTGAGATAATAAATATGAGTATTATTTACAATAAATGTGATTAATGATATTTTATAAATGTCATCTTCCGAAAAAACTATCCGAATCACGTTTCGAAAAATTAAAATATTATTATTTTATAATAAAATTATTATAAAATAATTATTTAATTTAATATTTTATAATTTAAATTA